TACCAAAATCCATACCAATGTAAAATATTTGAGACTAGCAGTTATTCAAAAGTAAACTCAACAATCTACCCTTTTATCTCATAATTTTTATATTACACACCACTTTTTTCCTTCAGAAAGAGATCTTTGAATCTAACTCATTTGTTTAGATTTTTCCTGAACATGACCAATAACAACTTTTCCTGAACATGACTAATAATCAACCCATCTGAATGATGACAAACATCTATAACCCATTGAATGAACAAAAGTCATCCACCCCACCTCTTGGGAATGTGTACATCATGTTCTCTAAATTGCTTTCTGTTGTCTGGGGTGCTGACATCTTTGGGGGACCATGAGAAAATTAAGATAATGGTCAAGTCCTGGCTAGAATAGTATGTGAAGTTGGATCATCTCAGCCAGCAGCTTTGAAGCTGTTCTAGATACAGAACTCTGAGGAAAGTGCAACAGAGGCACTTTGAGAGACTGGATCAACTGGGTTACCCATTTTCATTGATGTCTGGCCCCCTTGCTTTGAAAACACACAAACTTTCAAAGGTAACATATTAATACAACTATGGATTGTGCATTGTACACAAGTCAGCCAAAGATGATTTTTTGTTTTATATTTGAACAGATAAAATATATGTCATGTGTCTTGTAGTTTTTCTTGGTTTATTTCCTTATGTCTGTAGCCAGGATTTTCAGGGGGTCTCTTTCAATCAAACCTGATCCTCTTTAACCTTGAATAGCCTTTTATTTTCTGTAGAAACAAAAGCATAACTTCTTCCCTGATTTAACATATTTTTGACTTCCATTTTGAAGTTAAGGCATTTTTAAAATATATAAGTTGGTTTAATTTAGTAGTTTTTATAATCCAATGTCTCTTAGCAGCTATTGTTTGCTCACTAGCAATCAAAAAATTTAAAGTCAGTACAACACTATACAGGATCCAAACTCCCTGTGTATATCCCATCTCTATATCATTTATTCTTTCTTTATTATTATTACTACTTTCCTTTCCTCTTTAAAGACTTTATTTTATTATTTTTAAAATATTTTATGACGGTCTATATGCTTTTTCTCTTTTTTCTTAAGCCTATGCACATTGTTAAATACATTGTAACCTGTTTAGAGATTTTTTTCCATCTGAACCTGCCTTACTGTGTATCTGTAACCTTCTATCTATCTCTCATGGTGCACTGGCAGCTGGCTCCACCCCCACTCAGTTCCCTGAGAGCCTAGCTTCATGGCAGAGGTACCAGGTGGGAGCCACGTTTACCACCCTGTAGTGGGTAGCTGTTCCAGCTTTGACCTGGAAGTACTACCCCAAGTGAGGCTTCCGGGAACTGTGACACCTACCTATGACCTGCCCCTGAGGTGGGGTTGAGACGGGAGCCCTTAAGACCAGAGATCCAGATGTGCAGGCCTTCTTTGTTCCTGGTGATCCTGGATCTGGATGGTAGACCAAGTGGAGTTCTCCAGGAAACCCAGCTGGACTGCACCTCACCTCTCCTGAATCCTGTTACCAACCCCTTTACTAGCTGTAAGTTACCCCCAAAATAAACCTTCTTTTTAACTAAGTGAAGTTGCCTTAATAAATCCACCAACATCTGGCACCCAATGTGGGGCACAAACCCATGACCCCCAGATTAAGAATCTCATGCTCTACCGACTGAGCTAGCCAAGGTGATAACATGGAATTTGCTGACATGAGACATGATTGCTCCTGGCAGCACCAATCTGATCCCAAGAGAATGTTGGGCTTCTGAGACATTTCTGTTTGGAAGTTTGTCTTCACCTTGGTACAAAATGGCTTACTGGGAAAAGAACTGCCCTTGCCTCAACTGCTGACAGTAAAATGGTCTGACAGACACTCTAGGCCTGCAGCCAATTTGAATGCACTAGTGATGCTGAGAAACTTTAGGTGACTGTCCAGGCTGTCAGCAGTCTCTGTCTATTCTTGCAAGACTCACAAAAGCTGCTTGCATCCTTCCCCCATTTCTCGGGTATTATTATATTCCTTCTCAGGCCTTTGATGGGATTGAAGACTAACAGTTATAGTTACAATCTTCTTATATCTTAGCTAGAACATACTAAGTATTAGATTTAGGTTCCTTAGGATAGGACACCTTTTGGAATGATCTTTGTTTTTTTTTTTTGTATTTTTTAAATTTTTTCTTTCATTTTTCTTTATTAAGAAATTTTCTACTCACTCCACATATTATCCACAGATCCCCCCTCCTCCCTCCTTCCACTCCCCAGCCCTCTTTCCCAAGCCACCCCGTATCCCCACATCCCCCATATTGTCTGCAAATAATGAAAGTTTGACTTCTTCCTTTCCAATTTGTATCCCTTTGATCTCCTTATGTTGTCTTATTGCTCTACTAGAACTGCAAGTACTATATTGAATAAATATGGGGAGAGTTGACAGCTTTGTCTTGTTCCTGATTTTAGTGGAATCGCTTTGAGTTTCTCTCCATTTAATTTGGTGTTGGCTGTCAGCTTGCTGTAAATTGTCTTCATTATGTTTAGGTATGTTCCTGTATTCCTGATCTCTCTAGAACCTTTATCATGAAGGGGTGTTGGATTTTGTCAAAGGCTTTTTCAGCATCTAATGAGATGATCATGTGGTTTTCGTATGTTGAACAATCCTTGCATCCCTGGGATGAAGCCTATTTGGTCATGGTGGATAATTGTTTTGATGTGTTCCTGGATTCGGTTAGCAGTATTTTATTGAGTATTTTTGCACCAATGTTCATGAGGGAGATTGGTCTGTAATTCTCTTTCTTTGTGGCATCTTTGTGTGGTTTGGGTATCAGGGTAACTGTAGCCTCATAAAAAGAATTTGGTAATGTTCCTTCTGTTTCTATTGTGTGGAACAATTTGAAGAGTATTGGTATTAGCTCTTCTTTGAAAATCTGGTAGAATTATGTGCTGAAACTACCTGGTCCTGGGCTTTTTTTGGTTGGGAGACTTTTAATGACTCTTTCTATTTCCTTAGGGGTTATTGGTCTATTTAAATAGTTTATCTGGTCTTGATTTAACTCTGGTATGGGGTACCTATCTAGAAAATCGTCCATTTCTTTCAGATTTTTCCAATTTTGTGGAGTACAGGTTTTTGGAGTATGTCCTGATGATTCTCTGGACTTCCTCATTGTCTGTTGTTATGTCCCCCTTTTCATTTCTGATTTTGTTAATTTGGATGCTCTCTCTCCACTTTTTTTTTTTTTAATTTGGATAAGGGCTTATCTATCTTGTTGATTTTCTCAAAGAAATAAATCTGGTCTGATGAAAACTAACAATCTCCAGAGCCCATTTCTGACCCCATTAATTTTTCGAGCATATTTTGCAGATTCATTGTTCACACCTGACCTCCAGAGAAATAGCAAATGCCATGGCTTCTATACTCCTGATTTGGAGTGCCATTTTCCCCCAAGCTCCTGGAATACCACTCCTGAAACCTACCTCCTCAGCTCCCTCAAGGAACGTTCCTGAGATCTTCTGCCATGCGTGACTCCCAGTTCCCCCTACCCACTTCACCCCTTGTCAGCTTGAAGTAGCCTTGAGAATTCAGTGCCCTTGTTTCCTCACTTGCTCCCATAACTCACCTCTTTTTATAATAATCATAATGGAGGAATGCTAATATTCTGATCTGCCCCCTTGAAATCCCACCCCTTGATGCCTCCCTACATCCTGACATAAAAGCTTCATTCTAAGGAAAAATTCCTCCCCTTCTTCTCTCTCTCTTCTGCTTTTCCTCCCATGAGGTATTCTCTCTCTCTCTCTCTCTCTCTCTCTCTCTCTCTCTCTCTCTCTTTCTTCTTCTTCTTCTTCTTCTTCTTCTTCTTCTCTCTTTCTTTCTGTCTCTCTCTTTCCTATCTTTCTCTTCATCTCTCTACTACAATAAACTCTCTACTTTAATGCAGTATCTGGGTTGTGAATTATTGGCCACTGCTGCCACCGAGCCCGAATGGCATGCATCTGCCCAGCCCACTGCTGCATCTGCCTGGCATGTTTCCCTGCATGTGTGGGATACCCTTGGGGGTCCCCACACACAATAATTCATAACACTCACTATGTTCCCTTTCCTCCATTTTTGAATGGCAATGTATATTCTGTGACATTGTATATTGGAAGTATTTGATCTGCTTTTTTATTTTTTTCCCCAGGAGGTTACAGTTAAGAGATTGCCATGATTCTGAGAAGAGACTTTGAATTTTGGACTTTTAAACAGTGTTGAGGTGTTATAGACTATGGGGACTTTTGAAATTGGACTTAATGAATGTTTGCAATATGATATAGCTACAAGCCTATGTGGACCAGGGAGTGGAATTTCATGGTTTGAATAAAAATGGCCCCATAGGCTTGTCTATTTGAATGCTTAGCAAGTGGCACTATTTGAAAGGATTAGGAGGTATGACTTGTTGGAGATTTCAAAAGCCCAAGCCAGGCCCAGCAGTTCTTTCTTCCTGCTGCCTGCTAATTCAGATGAAGAGCTCTCAGCCACTTCTCCAGCACCATATCTGCCTGCATGCTGCCATGCTTCCTGCCATGCTGATAATGGACTAAACCTCTGAAGCTTTAAGCCACCCCAATTAAATGTTTGCTTCATAAGAGTTGCTATGGTCATGGTTTCTCTTTACAGTGAAAGAACATTGACTAAGACACCCATGAACTTAAAATAATTTTTTAATTAAAGAATTAACAAGTGGGGCTGGAGAGATGACTCAGCTCTTCAGAGGACCTGAGTTCAATTTCCAGCACCCACATGGAAGCTCACCACTGTCTGTAATTGCAACTCCAGGAGTTCTGACACCTTCATACAGACATACATGCAAGCAAAAACACCAATGCACATAAAATACAAGAAAAAAATTAATAAGGAAGGAACTCACCAAAGTTGTTACAGTTACATTTATTATAAAGGACTGTACAGACTGAAATCCACCGAGAAAGTAATGCTCCTGGAAGATTTCAAATACAAACTTCTGGCGGCGCAGCGTCGGAGGCAGAAGTGGCGAGGCCATCGCTCTGGGGCTCTCACTGCCGGCTCCGGGCGCCATGAGGAGCCTCCCGCCAGCCCGCCCGCCAGCCTGTCAGCCCGCCAGCCGCGTCTCTTGCCCTCGCTGCCCCTCCATGTGCCCAGGCGCCGCCGCTCCGCCTCGGGCCGCCGCTCACCCCGGGGTCTATGGAAGTGATGGAAGGACCCCTCAACCTTGTTTCTTGTGAGGATTAAAGACGTACACAGATACTAGGCACGTAGAACTGTGCTTTTTAGATAGAAGGTTGGAGGATTTAGCCACTCTTATAATGAGACCATAAAGCCCTTGACCTTTCACTTTAATGAGATTTGGACTTGAGCTTGACCGCCTGAGAGTGATCACCTCGCTGGAGCCAGGTTAGCAGCTCCGAGGAGCCCATCCCAGAGTTACTAAGTTAGGTTCTGCATCCATCTCCAAGTTGTTTACACTTAAGCACGATTGGGCTAGATCGGTGAGTTTTTGAAAGCCTGGGGAACATCTTGCACCTCTTGTCAATAGAGTTTGGTCAATACAGTTTGGGGTGAGGCGTGGATGGCTCAATACTGAAACTCCACAGGAAGATTATTCGTCAGAGCCAGCTGTTTACAAAGTGCTTCAAAGTTCAAGTGTCCTTGCAGAGCCATCCCTGGTTCAGTCCCAGGTAGCTTCACTTTATTTGGCAGCAGGGTGTAGCATGACCCTAGCTAACTACTCAACTAGTGTATTGTGGCTTACAAGAGGACAGAAACTGGGTTTCAGTGGGAGGTGGAGCACCAAGTGCTCAGTCTAGGAAAAATTAGGTAAATGATGGCAGCAGCGCTTTTATTTATCTACTGTTCGCCTGAGCCCTGCTAGCTTCCGGCCCACTCTGTTGCCTAGGCTGGTCTCAAGCACTGGATCATCGTCCTTTGTAAATGCTGGGATTCCAGGCCCATGCCTCCATGCCCTGGCTCACCAACAGAGCCGACGAGCAGACCGTTTGTTAGCTGCTGGGAAATACGAAGAGGCCATTTCTTGTCACAAAAAGGCTACAGCTTATCTCTCTGAAGCCATGAAGTTGACTCAGTCTGAGCAGGCTCACTTATCACTGGAACTGCAACGGGACAGCCACATGAAACAGCTTCTCCTCATCCAGGAGAGGTGGAAGAGAGCAAAGCGGGAGGAGCGCTTGAAAGCGCAGCACAGCACAGACAGGGACGGAACTCCCCACCTGCAGGCATCTCACAAGCCCTCTGAGGACGCAGAGGGCCAGAACCCTCTTCTTCCTCAGACACACATCCCTTCCGCAGAGAAGCGCCTCCCTGAGCTTCAGGGGGTCCTTGACAGGGATCCAGACACACTGCTGTATTTACTTCAGCAAAAGAATGAGCCAACAGAACCGTGTATTGGAAGCAAAGCCCCAAAAGATGATAAAACAATTATAGAGGAGCAGGCAACCAAAATTGCAGATTTGAAGAGGCATGTGGAATTTCTTGTGGCTGAAAATGAAAGATTAAGGAAAGAAAATAAGCAACTAAAGGCTGAGAAGGCCAGACTTCTGAAAGGTCCGACAGAGAAGGAGCTGGACGTTGATGCCGACTTTGTAGAGAAGTCGGAGCTGTGGAGCTTGCCACCACACTCGGAAACTGCCACAGCCTCTTCAACCTGGCAGAAGTTTGCCTCAAACACTGGGAAAGCCAAGGACATTCCAATCCCTAATCTTCCTCCTCTGGATTTCCCATCTCCAGAACTTCCTCTTATGGAGCTCTCTGAGGACATTCTGAAAGGATTCATGAATGATTAAAATGGGAAGCCATTGGAGAGGCTGGTGACACAGATAATCCAGAAAAGAATACAAAGGGAAAGAAAGTCATGCCCCAGAGGATCCCAGAAATGCTCCTTCATCTGGTATACTGTGGGAGGAGAGGCGGTGCCAGGACCTGGGAAAGTCACTGTGAAACATCACTCATCTTATGACTAAAGCTCATGTTTCCAACTGGGCAGACACTGAACTCTTGGATGGAGGTTCGCTTTCTTATGATACAAACCAAATGGCTACCTGGAATAATTTTTCAAACAGTTATTTTTCTTATCTTCAGGGTTAAATGTATAAAAGTATGTCATGTGTAATTAATCTATAATGCCATAAATGATAATGCAAAAGCTAAATATGGTGGCCTGAGAGGCTCACTTGTATTTGGAACATGCTTTCTATCATGCATTGACTGTATGCATTTTATGCACATTTTGTTTGTTGAGATACGGTGTGTAAGATACACCCTTCCAGATGGAACTGTATGTGCCACAGTTTGCACTACTCATAATATAATGATAACCTCAAGACTATCAGGAGAAATATTTACATTTCCATTTTATGAAGAAAGGAACCAAATTATTAGTTATGCTTTTTAAAAAAATTACCAGTTTACATAATTAATCAGGGTGCATTTTAAGTTCTAACTTTGTGTTATATGATGCATCATTTGTAAATTCGGAGGAACTCTCCTTTGTTCTGAATGATGCATGTGTGAAAGTAATGCTAGTTAGCAGTATTTGATTGTAAGAAATCAATAAAGTAATTGTGTTTCATAAAAAAAACAAATACAAACCTATTGTTTTTGCCTTTAGAGTCATTGACAGAGTGATCTTCCTCAGACTTATGATAATACTCACAAAGTACCACCAACCAGGGAAAATCACCCGAGCTTCAGTGGCCAATGTCCTTGTTGGGATCCCTCCCATAGGCTCTGTTGATCATCCATCTAGCTAATTTCATCTTCCAGTGCTTTTGCAGCTCAAGCCAATACTACATGAGCCAAAACTCCCACCTAAACCATGCCATTATACTTTCTAGTTGTACCAGTCTTCACCCTAACAACAATGAAAAAGTTCTCTCAAATATGCTATTCCCAGGATTAAGACAAGGATTTAAAAGGCAGAGACAAAGGCTATCCATTTCTTTAGATGATGTTAAATTTGTGCTACTTAATTGTACAATAGAGGGAGAAGTATAAAAATAAAAATAAAAGTAATATATTTACTGAAATTAAGTGACTATTTCTGACGTGCATTCTAATACATTAAGATATATATTGAGGGGCCAGAAAGATAGTTCAGCAGTTAAGAACATACACTGCTCTTAAGATGACATGAGTTTGGTTCCTAGAACCCTGACAGGCAGATCACAACCTCCTGTAACCCCAGCTCCAGAGGGAGCCAATGGCCTCTGGTCTCCACAGGCACCCATATACAAGTACACATACTCACACACAAACACATATACATAATTTAAAACTAATAAAAATAAATCTTATTGCTACATTGTGCTACATTTATTTCTTTTGAAAACTCAATGTAGCTAAAGAGAAAAGAATATAAAGAAAGCCAGACATGGTGGTGCATGTCTTTAATTTCAGCATTTGAGAAACAGAGGCAGGGAGCTCTCCATGAGTCCAATATCAGCCTGGTCTACATAACAGGTTCAAGTCCAATCAGGGATAATAGTGAGATCTTTTATCAAAAACTGACACAAAACAAAAGAAAGATAAACAAAGGAATTAAAGTGGTAAACTAAAATATCCACTTACAGGATGGGAGTGATTAAAAGAGAAGGGGAAAGGGGAATGGACAGGGAAGTGAAAGAGGGCAGTGGGAGCCACACAAAACTGGAGTATAAAACATGAATGAATAAAAATGTCACCATGAAATTCAAGGTTTTATACAATTAGTATTGAGTAATAATAAAAGATAAAATATCCTCTTCCTATAATATAAGACAATAAAGGAAGAACAAAAAACACGAGACATCTTTCTTGAAGAGCAGGCTTTTAAATTTTCATTTGCTTGGGGTTTTTGCTTATTTTTTGAAAAAAGGTTGCATATAGTCTAGGCTGGCCGGGAACTTGCTATGTAAGTGAAGATGACCATGAATTCTTATTCTTTCTGCCTTCACCTCCCAAGTACTGGGATTGTAGGTATGTGTCACCATGACTGGCAAGTAGGATTTTAAATACACAACTAAGCATTGCTTCTTCCAACACTGGGCCTTTTTGAGTATTTATTAGTACTCTTGAACACATGGCAGGTTTGTATTCCTCAGTGGGATGGGGGGAGTTGCCAGTTCTGGTTATTCCATAACCTTCATTATACTAGAAATGTGTAATGGTCCAGGGATCTTCCAGATCCTCTGAATAACTAGGTCAGCGCTTAACTTTAGTTTTTCAGAATCAAGACAGATTCTGTGCTTAGTTCCTAGCCCATGTATCTTAGCATATTCAGGGTCTGTAGAAGTTCCTCACAAGTTATTCATTGAAACCCATGAAAAGAAAATGCATTGACCATTTTATGCTATGTAGGCTGGCTACCATGGAAACCACCAATTCCTTCCAGATCTGGGCAATTTTAAATGCAAAGTGGATTGAAAAATCCATTTGTATTTACAGGATTCAAGACTTCATATAGGGTCACAGGTGGCAGGTGTTACATATTAACCACACAGTTAACACTGATGTCCCCATCCATGAAATATCCCTCATTGATTTCACCTTACTTGGTAGAGCAGGCAGCATTTGGTTCCCAAAACAGAAACAATGCAAATAAAACCTGTTCATACAGATGAAGAGGCTCTTTCTCCATAAAAGCTTTTGCTGCACTTCTAGTGCTCTGGCCCATGCTCAATATCCACTGTGTGGGCTCTAGCATAGGTCCCTATGTAATCAACAGATGGATGGGCCTCATGGGAAATATGTTCACTAGTCAGGCTCATAACTTGGTACACCTTGAGAAGGGGGAAATATTTTTAAAGGCCCATTGTTAATGAATCATGAGGCCTTGGAAAAAGAAGTGGTTGTCTTCAAATATGCACAGAAAGACACATATTTGCTTACATGTTACCCACCTGTTGACAGCTATAGCTCATGGGTTTAATTTTTAGAATAGTACAAAGATTCTGGAGTCAGACTAGATCAGGCCAGAGGGGTTCTGCTACTGCTTAAGTGAACTTAGCCAAGCTACTTGACTTGTTTAGCTTCAGTCTTCTCCTCCTCCTCCTCCTCTGAACCTACTTCACAGGGGTGTAAAGATTAAACAGGAGTAAGCTCATAGCACCTGGCATAGAAACCAAGCTGAGAACAACATGCCTCCATAAATGCGAATGAAGAGGGCTATGAGAACAAAGAGGAATCATGAACACATCTGTGAGGTCTCTTACAGGTTTTGTAAGGATCTCAGTGACAAAGCAGAAATCTGAGACCCATGGGAACCCATAGGAAAAGGGAGTTGGGGAAAGTATTGTAGAAGCAGCTTGCCACTTCTACAATATTGAACAGTAAATATATGGAAGGCAGAAGCTATTGTATAACTATCCCTTGAGCCCACCTGAGGACCTGAGCAGAGTAGGTGTTCAATGTCTGTAGAAATAAATAGATATCTGATGAACACAAAGAATCTGGAGGCTTCTCAGAAATGGACTAAATGCAAAGGAAATAACCACCAGCTGCAGCCAGGAAGAGTTAGTCACCATCATAGATGTTGTCAGGGTCATTTATGATTATGAAGTGAATCATAGGGGACTGGCTATAATAATAAAGAACAAAAGTGTCTGAGTAAAATACTGTTTCACAGATTAGAACAGACTCAAGGTTATCACTATAGCAATGATGTAGTCCAATTATGCTTTATTGATTGAGTTTGCTCCTGAGAGTGTGTGCATGCTGACTGCAATGCAGACCAAGGCAAGCAGTAAAAAAAAAATAAAAACAAACGAGAGTTGCTAATTTAGGCTGCAGGCCAACTGGGACTCTTTGGGTAGCAGGAACCACAACCATTCCTTTGCTCTACCTTTTCTGTCATACCCTAAGATGAGGGTGAGCAGGGGGCCAAGGGTAGTGTTGCCTTTACAGGAAATACCGAAGTAATCATTTTTGAAAGGTTGATTTCAATGACATGACATCAGAAATTATATATCTATCTTCTTAGCACTTTACAAATAATAAACACTTTCATGTGCATTACTGCTTGGTAAACAACCAACTTAGCTTAAGTGAATAGCCTGTAGTTGAATGTAACATGAATCTTAAAAGGTCTTATTAATAAAAAAAAATAACTGGAGCCAGATATTGGGGTGAAAGCTGAAAGAAAGATCAGAGAAACGGAACAAGCCACAGCCCGTCTCACCTCACTAACTCCTCAGCTGATCTTGTTTCCTCAGACTGAAAGCCTCTGAGTCCTCACCTGAGTGGATCTCAGCTGAACTGCTGCTTAGTTCCTGTTTCCTCACACCTTATATACTGTTCTCCACCCAGCCATGTCACTTTCTGTGATTAAAGGTGTGTGTGCTTTCCAAGCAAAGATATGAGTACTGGGATTAAAGGCATGTGCCACAACTGCCTGAATCTGTTCCCAGTGTGGCTTTGAACTTAAAGAGATCCAGATGGATCTCTGCTTCCCAAGTGATAGGATCAAGTGTGTGTGCCACCACTGTCTGGCCTCTATGTCTAATCTAGTGGCTGGCTCTGTCCTCTGATCCCCAGATAAGTTTATTAGGGTACACAATATATTGGGGCATACAATATATCACCACATTTCCCCTTTTTTGTCTAAAATAATAAATTTATAACTAATATAAGAAAAACTATGTACAGTAAGTACAATAACTATATACAATAGATACAGGCAAGAACTACATTAACAATGTCTAGTCCATTTGAATTTGACAAATTCAGCAAAAATATTCCATTTTATATCCTATTTTGGTGAGTCCAAAATGTACCTAATTAACTTTCTATCCTAACTTGTATTACCATCCGAAAACTATCTTTTGATGTCTTTCAAACTTATATACTTTACACTTCTTTAGTGAGTTTCTTTTCTGAATTTGTTAACAAGGAAAACTGTAACTATCCAATCTTCAACTCTCTCAGAGACCCAAGAAGTAAATAACATCACCTAGTTAAACAGAAAGTGCAAACAAGCAACTTCTAAAAAAAATGTGTGGTATGACAGAAACAGCTGGCCACCTGGACAGTCACCCAAGGTTCTTCTGCAACATTGGAGAATCATCTTCAGTCTACGGGCCTAGCCTATTTGACAGACTCATCTGTGAAGCAGGATTTTCTAAAGAACATTCCTACCTTGTCTTGGCAAGGATCAGCAGTCCTTTCTTTTGTGTCCTGCTTGTCCATTTTGGACAGCATACTGTCAGTAATCAAGGCAAGGGCATTTTCTTTCCCAGTGGCCAACTTTTGCCACAAAAAAGTAATCCCATAAGGAGTTTCCTCAATGCTCATCATCTTCTTTGAAGTAGATTGGTGCTTCCAGGAGCAGACGTCTCATAGTTATAAAAAAAATGTTATTAAAACATCTTAAATGCCATATTCTGTAGATCTCTGAAGTGTTTGAAGATGACATTGTCTATCTAAAATATATCTCTGTTTGATCTTGAAAACATACCTAAACTAATACTAGTTTGATTATAATGACTAACTACTAACTTGTATTTCTTTATATCCTAATTAGTTGGTAATAATAACTTTTAAGGACTAGAAATTTGCATTACATTGTTAAGTGAGCTCTATAGGGATAATACCTTG